TCTCCCTCTCTCTCCCTCCCGCTCTATCTGAACAAAAAAATGGAAAAATGTCCTTGGATGAGGATAAAAAAGTAAATAAAAAAATAAAAAAAAAGAAATCCAGCCCTCACGCTATAACAACTGATGAATAAAGAAGCGTTTTGTTGCTCTTAACATCGTGACACTGAAGGTTTAATGCCCCATTAAATAAGCTCCAAAACATACTTATTTCACCTTTGACCCTGTAATTCGACTTCTGAGAACACTTTCTACCAAAATAAGTTTGAATGCAGAAAATGTTCTATGCCTTTAATGCTGTGTTTATCACACTATAATGAAAAAAAAAAAAAAAAATCAAAGTGTAAACTAAATGGCCAATGTAAAGAAATGCTTACACTTCCGGCCAAGATGGTGGCATAGGTAAACGTGGTATCACGTCCTCCCACAACCACATCAAAGTTACAACTACAGAACAACCATCATTCAAAACCACCTGAAATCAAGCTAAATAGAAGTCCTACAACTACGGCATTAAAGCGGCAGCCACATCCAGACTGGTAGGAGGGGCGGAGGCCCCTCGGGCTGATCCCACACCCACATGTGGTGGATAAAAATCAGGAGGACACCTCGGCTAGGAAGGTCCTTCCTGAGGACTCAGGGGACCCTGTCCCACACCAGACGACTCACTCAGGGATCCAGTGCTAGGAAGAGAAGTCCCCATAACTTCTGGCTGAAAAAAACAGCAGAAACTGAGGCTCAGGGAAGCTGAAGCGGCTGGAGCCCCAGGCAGCTCCTTAAAGGGCCCATGCACGAACTTATCGGACTCACTCCCTCTAAGCTTGGAGGGGAGGCAGCTCAAGTGGCACCAAAGACATACAGGGGAGAACTGAGCTGTTTACCACAGGGGCAAGGGCTGGAGAGGGGGCTTTCTACAGAACAACGTGCTGTCAGAGGCCTTTGTTCCTTTGGTGAGCCCTTCCCTGGTGCAGCACACAGCCGCCATATCTGGGACTCCAACAACCTGGCTCACACTGTTTGCCCCACCTTGGTGATTCCCTGAGGCCCCGCCCACCCAACTTTCAGGCCCACCCAAGCTGTTGCCAGTTGCTTAACCAAAGGATTGGCCTGTCTGGGATCCTGCTTCAGGTTTTCCTAAATTCTTTCAAATTTGGTCTCAGATAGCCCCATACCTCTCATTAGGTAATACGCAGAAACAAACACAGGGAGACAGCCAAAATGAGGAGACAAAGAAATAGGTCCCAAATGAAAGAACAGAACAGAACCCCAAGAAAAGAACTAAGCAAAATGGAGGTAAGCTACCTAACAGTTGCTGAGTTCAAAATACTGCTTATAAGGATGCTCAATGAACTTAGTGAGGGCCTCAAGAGCATAAAAAAGGACCAGTAAGAAATGATGGATGCACAGTCAGAATTGAAGGAGGCATTAACTGAAATAAAGAATAATTTACACAGATTCAATAGTAGAGTATGTAAATCCAAGAAGCACACCATTGATTTGGAATATAAGAAAGCAAAAAATGCCCAATCAGAACAGCAAAAAGAAAAAATAATCCAAAAAATGAGGATAGTGTAAGGAGCCTCTGGGACAACTTCAAGCATGCCAACATTCGCATCTTGGGGGTGCCAGAAGGAGAAGAGCAAGAACAATAAATCGAAAACCTGTTTGAAACAATAATGGCAGAAAACTTTCCTAACTTGGTGAAGGAAACAGACATACAAGTCCAAGAAGCACAGAGAGTCCCAAACAAGATGAACCCCAAGAGGCCCACACCAAGACACGTCATCATCAAAATGCAAAAGGTTCAAGACAAAGAGAGAATCTTAAAAGCAGCTAGAGAAAGGCAGTTAGGTACCTACAAGGGAGTTCCCATAAGGCTGTCAGCTGATTTCTCAAAAGAAACTTTGCAGGCCAGAAGGGAGTGGCAAGAAATATTCAGAGTAATGAAAAGCAAGAACCTTCAACCAAGATTACTCTACCCTGCAAAGCTGTCATCTAGAATCGATGGCCATATAAAGACTTTCCCAGACAAGAAAAAGTTAAAGGAGTTCATCACCACCAAACCATTATTATATGAAATAATGAAGGGTCTTTTTGAAGAAAAAGATAAAATATATAAGCAAACAAAATGGCAGTGAATACATATTTCCCGACAATGGAATCTACAAACAAAATGAACAGGCAGAACAGAAAAATTCTCATAGATACAGAGAACATTTTGTTGATTGCCAGATGGGAGGAGGGTTGAGGGAATGGGTGAAAAAGGTGAAGAGATTAAGAAGTACAAATTCATTGCTAGACTGACAAACCTCAAAGGGAAAGGGGTTGGGGGGGTGGGAAGAAATAAACCAAAGAACTTATATGCATAACCAATGGACACAGACAATAGTGTGGGAAAAGGCAGGAGGGGTGCGGGAGGGGGAGGAGGGGGTAAATGGGGAAAAATGTGGAACACCTGTAATACATTTTACATGCAACAATAAAGATTTAAAAAAAAAAAAACAACCACAAAACAAAAATGAATAATAAATAAATAAATAGAAAGAAAGAAAAGAATTGGTGTTGGGAAAATTGGACAGCTACATGCAAAAAAATGAAACTAGACCGTCAACTCACACCATACAAAAGAATAAACTCAAAATGGAGAAAACAATGTAATGCAGCTTGTGAATTCATAAAAATCCTAGAAGAAAATGTAGGCAACAAAATTTCAGACATCAATATGCAGCAGAATTTTCACTGATACATCACCTAAGGCAACAGAAACAGAGGAGAAAATGAACACATGGGACTACATCAAACTAAAAAGCTTCCGCACAGCAAAAGAAACAACCATCAAAATGGATGACGGGGAACCCACTGCATGAGAGAGCATAATTACCAATGATACATCAGATAAAGGGTTAATTTCCAAAATATATACAGTGCTCATACAACTCAACAAAAGAAAGACAAAGAACCCAATTAAAAAATGGGCAGAGGAGCTAAATAGACACCTCTCCAGGCAGGACATACAAATGGCTAAGAGACATATGAAGAAATGCTCAACATCACTAATCATCAGAGAAATGCAAATTAAAACAACAATGAGGTATCACCTCACACCTGTCAGAATGGCCACCATCAACAAATCATCAAACAAGTGTTGGCAAGGGTTTGGAGAAAAGGGGACTCTTGTATGCATAACTGATGGATATGGTCAACAAAGCTGGGAATGGGGTGGGGGGATGGGGAGGACGGTGTCAATGGGGAAAAATGGAGAAACATCTATAACAAAAATAAATTAATAAAAATAAATAAATAAAAAATATAAGTATTAGCAAGGATATAGAGAAAGCAGAACCATCATATCCTGCTGGTGTAGGCCACTTTGGAAAACATGGCAATTCCTCAAAAAGTTACTGTATGACCCAGAAATTCCACTTCCAGGTATACACCCAAAAGAACTGAAACATACATCCACATGAAAGCTTGTATATGCATGTTTACAGCAAAATTATTCATAATAGTCAAAAAGTAGAAACAACCCATATGTCCCTATGGTATACTCATATAATGGAGTATTATTCAGCCATAAAAAAGAACATAAAACAACATAGATTAACCTTGAAAACATGCTAAGGGAAAGAAGCCAGACAAAAAAGAGCACATATTACATGTTTCTATTCACATGAAATAAGAAAATCCATAGATACAAAAAGTAGATTTGTGGTTTCCAGGGACTAAAGAAGCTAGGGGAGGGTATGTCTATAGGGAGTGTCTATAATGGGTACAGGTTTCTTTTGAAGGTGATAAAAATGTTCTGAAATTGGTGGTGGTAAGTACACAACCTTGGAAATATACTAAAAAACCAAATTTACAATTTAAAAGAATGGATTTTGTGGTATGTAAATTGTATCTCAGAAAGGGAAAAAAAAAGATCTATCTATATAATGAAAGCAATGTACAAAAATTATGCTTTTTAGTTACACTGCCCTTCCTAGGAATCAATCTAGAAGATTCCAGGACTCCCTTGGATACCAAAACACAAGGATACTCAAGTCCTTTACAATGTAGTACTTTTTTCACCAAATATTTTCGATCTGTGGTTGATTGAACAGGCATGAATCCACGGATATATATGGCCAACTGTAATCATATTTTATATACATACGCTATGATTACAAGTAGATTAAAAAATGCTCAGAAAAATTACAAAAAATGATTTTTAAAAGCTGGGTGGTGTAAATATAGGTGATCGCTTAAAATATTTCTGCATTTCTCGGATATTCTTTAAACAGCATGCACAGCTTCTTGTGGGGGGAGCTTTATTTAAAACAAACAAAAGAGGAAATTCTTAAATTCCTAAGTGTATAAAATATCTTTTACTTCACATTCAACGATTTCAGTCACATGGTCCCCAAAATACCTGTCATTCCCCTCCCCTACAGAGGCCAATCAAGTTGAACTGTCTCCTTCCGGAAACAGGATGCCCTCTATTTCCAGAGCACCTCCAGCAACAGTTTTCCACCCTCCTCTCCAACTGCTGCTCCTCCTTCTTCTAGGTCCTCTCCTCCTCCTCTTCCTCTGCCAGAGCAGTAAAATGCTAACGTCCTGCGGGATTCTAACCAGGCCTCTACTACACGCGGGGCTGCTGTGACCCCAACCGGCCACGCAGGGCTAGGGCGCACACCCTCGGGATCTGCGAGCCTCAAACTTCGAGAAACCCGCAGCCGGAGACTGCACAGTGGGTGAAGGACAGCGAGGACTCCCACACACTGGCAGTCCTTCCCCGGAGAAGGAATGAGGCCGCCAGGCTGGAGCCAAGGCTGAGAAGGGGGCCGGCGCGGGCCCCACGCACGACCGAGGGAAAGAGGGACGTCCAGTCCGCTCCTTCACCACCGCCCCCGGGAAGGGGCATCTGCGCACCGCCCCCTCCCGGCCCTGGAGAGGAGCTCCCAACGAGGAAGCAACGCGGCGGCGGCGGCGGCGGCGCGGACAGCGTGAGAAAGAAGGACACTCACCCGCGTCAGCCCCGAGCCCTTACAGCACCGGAAATAGTCACCGGCCCGTTGCCAGGGTGAGGAAGCGGGGGTGACATCCAGCCTTCCCATTGGCGTTGAGCGTTACCACGTGGCCGGAAGCTTAAGCTCATGCGCTGCTCTGACTCCGCCCTGTGCTCCAAAGCATTTCACCTGGGTGCAGAGGTGCCTTGGGGATGCTACCTGGAACCTCGTTCTGCCTTGAGCTGGCGCCATTGCCGGTATCTCCTCATCAGGCCCGTAGTGAGCAGGCCGGATGTGACTGCATCTGATCCAAGTGTTTTGGATGACTAGCGATGTGATAGGAAAAGAAATTAAAGTAGCCACCATTTATTGAATTTAAGAGCTTAATTTTATTAAATTATTGCAGGCCCTGTATACAGTAGGGAAAACTGGAGTTCTCTCTGGATTGCATGTGGGAGATAGGGTCCAGCCTTGCCCTGGGGAGAATGAAAGTTTGGGTGGCCTTTCTTTTGCCATCTAGCACCGAAAACCGAGACCCAGTACCATGATGTAATCCCTTTAATGTTTCCTGTAACTATTAACAAAAATTCTGTAACATATAACCACCTTTAAAACTGCCTTGAAAAGATCGACAGGAACAAAGCAGTATTTTTCCAAGTATGATTCCCAGACCACCAGCTTCAGCTTCACCTGAGTTCAAATTCTTCTTCACTTTATACTTACTAAATCAGAAACTTTGGGTTTGAGACCCAACAATATGTTTTAACAAGCCCTCCTAGTGCTTCTAGTGCACCTAAAATTTGAGGACCACACAACTAGAGGGCCTTTCTCTGTAGCATAGTTGTAGAGGTGATGGAAGGAGCTCCTTGGGAGAAACAGGAGCAGCCAAGGATTTGTACCTCTAGTAATCCAGAAAGAAGGTCAGAAAGGCGATTTGGGGGCAAATATGGGAATGAGACCCTGGAACTCATTCCCATTCTGGTATTCTGGTATTCCTACATAAAATATATATATATATATATATATATATATATATATATATATATATATATATATAGTATGGGAAAGATTTCTCAACTGCTAGTAATCTCAAATTCATTTTAATAACTTTTACATTATCCAAGGTATTTTTCTGCTGATAATCTTCTCTGTGGACAAAAGTAAAAGGATAGAAAACAATATGGAGTTTTCTCAAAGAATTAAAATTAGATCTACCATCTACTCCCACAATTCCACTTCTAGGTATATACCCAAAGGAAATGAAAATAGGATTTTGGAGAGATATATACACTCCCATGTTTATCACAGCATTATTCACAATAGCCAAGAGATGGAAACTGCCCAAATGCCCATCAATGGATGAATAGATTTTTTTTTTAAGAGATATATGGTATATACACAATGAAATATTATTTAGCCTTGACAAGGAGAATTTCCTTCATTTGTGACAACATGGATGGACCTTGAACATATTGTTCTAAGCGAGGCAAATCAGACAAGGAAAGACAGAACTGTACGATAACACTTATATGTGGAATCTAAAAAAGTTAAATCTGTAAAATACAGAGAGTAAAATGGTGGTTGCCAGGGGGTGAAGGGGATAAAATTAATGGTGTTCAAGGGTACCAATTTGTAACAAGTAATAAATAAGCCATAGAGAGCTAATGAACAGTATAATGAATATAGACAATAATATTGTACTATAATTATGTAATGTGATAAATATTACATTCTTTCAATTATATGTTACTCCCCATCTTTTCCACAAATTCCATTTTTCTTCTACAATATTTAAAACGTGAGCAAGACAAACAAACCAAAGATTACCTGATTCTCATTTCAAGTTCTGATGGCAACAGACACATTGTCTTCTGAGCCCTGACAAAGACTAGCAAGATTATAGAAAGCCCAGTCGCCATCTCTGTTTTAATCCTTGTAATCTGTCCATCTGTCTCTCTACGAAGTATCTGGCCATTTGTGTCACCATCCCTGGTTCATAGGGCAATATAAATGTGTTTCCTGAGCAGCAAAGTGTCTTCCTCATTTGTCGATGTTGAATGTAGCACCTTTCTCCACATCTGCCTACCTTATCTTATTTTAATATGTAACAATCCCTCAATGCTCTCATAAACTTGTGAAGATTAAATAAAATTTAGTGAGTCAAACCAGTGTCAGCTTTTCAGCCACCTTTCTCTGACCACTTTTATTTTTTTCAGCTTTATTGAGGTATATTTAATACACAAAAAATAAACATTTAGATTTAAAAAGTAAAATAGAAAAACACTTTTAATGTATATATTTTGCTGAGTTTGGACATATGCATACACTTTTGATACTATCCTCACAATCAAGGTAGTAAAAATACCCATCACCTCCAAAAGATTTCTTGTGTCCCTTTGTTGATTAGTTGGGGGGTGGGGTGGTAAGAAAACTTAGCATGAGATCTACCTTTTCTATTTTTTTTAAATTAATTTATGTTTGTTATAGATGTTTCTCCTTTTTTCTCCATTGACACCCTCCGCCCCATCCCCTCCCACACCATCCCCAGCTTTGTTGTCCATGTCCATCGGTTATGCATACAAGCATATAAGTTCTGTGGTTTATCACTTCCCTCACCTATCCACCCCCTCTTCTGAGGGTTGTCAGTATGTACCCTCCTTCCACATATCTGGATGTACCCTGTTCCTCACTCAGACTGTTATGTTCATTATATTCCACAAATAAGTGAAATCATATGATGCTTGTCTTTCTCTGTTTGGCTTGTTTCGCTTAGGATAATACTTTCCAGGTCCCTCCATGTTGTCTCAAAAGACAAGGGATCTTTTTTTTCTTACAGCTGCATAGTACTCCATTGTGTATATGTACCGCAGCTTTTTTATCCATTTGTCTACTGATGGACACTTGGGCTGTTTCCAGATCTTAGCTATTGTAAATTGTGCTGCTATGAACATGGGGGTACATATATTCTTCCTGATTGGTGTTTCAGGCTTCTTAGGGTATATTCCTAGAAGTGGGATTACTGGGTCAAATGGCAGTTTCATTTTTAATTCTTTGAGGTAACACCATATTGTTTTCCATAGTGGCTGCACTGGTTTGCATTCCCTCCAGCAGTGGACTAGAGTCCCCTTTTCTCCACACCCTTGCCAACACTTTTTCGATGATTTGTTGATGGTGGCCATTCTGACAGGTGTGAGGTGATACCTCATTGTTGTTTTAATCTGCATTTCTCTGATGATTAGTGATGTTGAGCATTTCTTCATATGTCTCTTGGCCATTTGTATGTCCTGCCTGGAGAGGTGTCTATTTAGCTCCTCTGCCCATTTTTTAATTGGGTTCTTTGTCTTCCTTTTGTTGAGTTGTATGAGCACTGTATATATTTTGGAAATTAACCCTTTATCTGATGTATCATTGGTAATTATGCTCTCTCATGCAGTGGGTTCCCCGTCATCCATTTTGATGGTTGTTTCTTTTGCTGTGCGGAAGCTTTTTAGTTTGATGTAGTCCCATGTGTTCATTTTCTCCTTTGTTTCTGTTGCCTTAGGTGATGTATCAGTGAAAATTCTGCTGCATATGATGTCTGAAATTTTGTTGCCTACATTTTCTTCTAGGATTTTTATGAATTCACAAGCTGCATTAAATTGTTTCATCCATTTTGAGTTTATTCTTTAGTATGGTGTGAGTTGACGGTCTAGTTTTATTTTTTTGCATGTAGCTATCCAATTTTCTCAACACCATTTCTTAAAGAGGCTGTCTTTACTTCATTGTATGCTTGAGATCTACCTTTTCAACAAATTTTTAAATACACAACATCATATTATTAACTATAGGCCTTATGTTGTATAGAAGATCTCTAGAAGTTATTCATTTTGTGTAACTATAACTTATACCTATTGTAGAACATTTCCCCATTTCTCCTTCTTTCAACCCCTGGAAACCACCATTCTATTCTTGATTCTGAGTTTAGCTGTTTTAATACTTCATGTAAGTAGAATCATGCAGCATTTGTCCTTCTATTACTTGTCTATTTCACTTAGCATGTCCTCTATGTCGCAAAGAGCAGTATTTCTTTCTCTTTTTAATTTTTTTAATCCTCACCCGAGGATTTTTTTCTATTTATCTTCAGACAGAGTGGGAGGGAGAGAGAGAGAAACATGGACGTGAGAAAGACACATCAACTGGTTGACTCCTGAATGACCCCGACCAGGGCCGGGAACGAACCGCTACCAAGGTATGTGCCCTTGGCCAGAATTGAACCCGCAACTCATTGGTCCATGGGCCAATGATCTACTGCTGAGCCAAACCAGCCAGGGCTTACTTCTTTTTTTAAAATCTGAATATTCTCTCATATGTATACACCATATTTTCTTTATTCATTCATCTGTCGGTAAGTAGCTACATTATTTCCATATCTTGGCTATTGTGAATAATGCTGCAGTGAACATGCGTAAGAAGCTGTCTCTTCCAGATCCTGATTTTAATACTTCTGGATAAATATTTGGGAATGAGATTGCTGGATCACCACAACCCCCTTGTAGTCCTCACTGGTCCCCTCCCTGCTTAACTCTGTCAGCAGCACACAATTCCAGCTCTATCATTTTTTCCTATTTATTTTTATTATTGACCATCTCTCCTGCAAAGTCAGCTACATAAGCACAGGGACTTTAAAAACACACACACATTTTATTGATACTTAACATAAATAAAGAAAAGTATAGATTGATGGCTCTACAAAGTGAATAGGCCATGTAATCACTCAGACCAAGTGAAAGAAATCACAACCTCTCCCCAGTTTTTTGAACTTTATGTAAAGGGAATTTTACAATATAAACTCTATTATGTCCATCAACCTCATGCTTTGAGATTAGTCCATATTGTATATTTATTCTCATCGCTCTGTGGTATTTTGATATCTGACTATTTATTTATTCCTTCCACTATTGATGGTCATTTGGGCACTTTCCAGTTGGGCTTGTTATGGGTTGAATTGTGTACCCAAAAAAGATGTATTGAAATACTAACCACTGGTACCTGTGAATGTGATTTTAT